CAGTGTCGTTTCAAGTAATGTTGGAATGCCATCTGTTCTCAAATTTCAGTAGTTTTTCTTATGTGATAGAGTATTTTGTGTGCAGCCTCTCAGTTCTGTTATCTGCAGAAAAAATACAAATGTCTTTTTTATTAAGAATCTTTCATGTAGCTGCTCAGCAGTGCGCAGCAGGAGAATTGCCCTGGACACAGCACACACTTGAATATCCTCCGTGGTAAACTTTTAATGCATTTTAGACTTATACAGGTTAGTTCTCTTGTCACCACATTTTATCAGTTTGCACTTCAAATTATCTATTTTCTTCGTTTAGTTCCTTTTAAAGTCATAAGGAGGCTCACTTTTAGGTCTGTGTGCACTAAGCACAACTTAGAAATACTTTTATGTTGGTCATTATTGATTAAAATATAATTTGGCCTGTAAATGTTTAAACTTCACCAGGTAACAAAATTGTGTGACATATGGGGTACTCTTTAATGTTCAGTTTTTCTGAGCAGCCAATCTAAACAGCCGACTCCAAGAATTTCAGTTTTTCATTGTCTTATATATTTCATACCAACGTACACTATGAGACAAGAAGATGGTGATGTTTTGTCCTCAGTTTATTATAGATTATTATTTATGAGTTTCCCAGGTTTAATACAAGGAACAGTATTTCTGGTTTTGTTTTCAGTTAATTTAGGTTATTTTACCTCTTTCTCTTGCATAAACTTACCAGAATTTTGGTTTGTTTATTTTTGTTTATTCTTCTTAAAGCGTGTGACTTAGACATCCTCTATCTTGTTTGCAGTTAAACAGAATTAAATACATCATTCTGACTCTCTGTTGAAAACTAAGGTACAATGAGTCATTAGAAAACATGTTAGAAAACATGTACTGAAATTATCTCAAATGAGCTGTATTAGAGAAAAAAACCAGCAGAATTCAGTGCACAACGTGCATGGGAAAAGGACCCCAGAACCCTTAACAAAGAAAATGTTTAAACCAATAATGTATATAATGTCCAACATAATATACTGCTGGCAGGCAGCTGCATGTATGAGGGAAAATTCTGCACTCATAGTAACTTTATGAAAAGGATGATTCAGGAATTGGACAGCTAAATATGTCATCTATCATCCCCAAATGATCTATTTGAAAGAAAAGTCCTTTCACTCTGATGGATGTTCAGTCACTTGAGATCATTGTGAGTGTTCATCTCGGGGAAACTCCATTACAACCTACACAAACGCCTGTGAAATGTGAAATAGATAAAATGTTGGTGTCCACGTTAAAGATATCCTGACAATTTCCACTGCTGATGAAAGTGAGGTTGTTCTAGACTAGTTGCAAAACTTCTTAGGGTTATGCTGAATATTCAGTTTGGCATAAAAATAAGCAGCTATTTTCCACCTTAAAGCTATTTGAATACAGTGCAAATTGAAAAAAAAGGAAATCATCAGGGGCAAATATGTTTACTTAGAAGCAGTATATAGAAATTTAAATATCTGCTACATCATAGGATTTGCAGTCCTTTAAATTGCCCTGTATAAATGTATCTCTGTAGATGTGCATTAGAGTTAAAAAACTAAAGTATGTCTTTCACTCTTACTGTTGAATAATATTGACTGTGCAGTAAAGAAAAGCTAGTTATCTCTACTTCAAAACAAACCAAATACACGTATATACATATACAGTGACCACCAGTCTTATAGAAATACGTAGTTTTATTATTGATGCTAGTATTGACTTCTCTTTTTTTTTTTTTTTTTTACATGTGTGTTGCTGTGGAAGATTTTAAAATCAGATTATAAAGAAATGCAGTGCAATTAATTTTTTTTATGCTATACATATATATTAATACATATTTATCTGTGATTTCTGTTGGGGAAAGATATAATAGACACGCAATTATTTTAAAATGGCTCAAATTTGGAACAAGATGTTCTTTAAGGTCCCTTCCAACCCAAGACAGTCTATGTTTATATGATATTTGTGGCTCTTGCTCCATGCACCTTGCCCAGAGAAGCTGTGACAGCTTAGTCTACCTGCTACATACAAAACTGCTCTAGTTTTTTTAACAGTAAGTGCTACAAATCCTCGAGCAATTTGGGATTTCCAAGACATGACAGCAGGCCATTTCCATCTCGAAAGAGTAAGACAGGTCCCAGAAGAATAGAAAACT